TTGGGGTTAAAGCAACTCCGCGTTGACTGAACTAATTGTTATCAGCCTTTCTGAAACCGAATATTCCGAGTTGGACAGTTCGGGGTTACTCAACCCTGAGTATCGTTTTTCACTCTGAGTTTTCTAAACCAACTTCCTGAAATAGGGCCCTGGTCTGAATTTATGTTTCTAAACTATCTATGCCATGGGGTATTGTAACCAGTAAGCCCTTCTGAAAACCTAAACTGTAACTAGTCCCATAACATGATGTATAGCTCCCTAGAAATGTGAATATGCAGCCCGGGCAGCTCACAACAACTGCGACTGGCCCACTCAGTACCCTCATTTCCTCGTAATTCTAATGCTAACTAGTGCATTGGCAGCAAAATCTATGTAGGCTCTACATAGATTCAATGCAGACATAAAAATTTTAAATGTAGCCAATTCCTAAGTGCTTTAACCTGCATTATTTTTTAAATGACCAATAGGAGGGTTGTAAATAAAACCTGTCTTTACATAGAGTTCTTTGGAAAAACAGCCTTTGGTTCCTTTGCTCTTTGTCTTGTTATGAAGCTTAATATCAACGGTGGCTACATCCATCTTTTACATACAGTCTACATTTGGACTGAACAGTGAAGTAAACTTAGCTTGTGTTTTGCTAAAGCCTCAGGCACACAGGCCTAGAGACTGTTTGACAACTGTCTGTCAGCCAGTGGTTGTAAGAAAAAATGTGTATTCTCCAACCAGTTGGCAGTTGTGGGAGGTTGCTAGCTATTGTTTGGTGAAAATGGCCACACAGTGGTACACAATTCAGCATGTTCTATGCAGACGATGAGCAACTACGGCAATCTGCCAACAAGCTCCGGTAACCACTTACCTACTGAATGGGGAATACACAGTTTTTCCTAGTGACCAGTGCTTTCCAAGCTGTGACCAATTGGTTATAAGGTCTTGACCAAAAGCCACTGTGATTGGCCCATGACCCTTACTGTGCAATAAGTTAGCACAGTAGAAGTGAAGCATGAGCAACCTTGTGGTGTCTGTTTTTTTCCATTGACTTCTTGTTCTTTCTTAAACCAGAATGTTTTGGTCATTAGTCTAACAAACCACATCCATGTGACATTTAAGAGGTATGTTTAGCCAACATTGAGGTCCCCCAACTTTTATTTTGAAACTATTTTTCAACCATTACTAGACATCAACAAAAGACCACCATCTGACAGACATTCAGTGTTGAAATGTTTGCTGGAAACGTTCAGTCAGAGGCTGAGTGTAACACAAACAAAGACACTCATGCACAAAAGGTTATTTTTAGCTAGCTTGTCATTGCTAGCTATCAAGCATGTTTCGGGGACAGCATGGTCTAGCATATTTTTAAATCCTGGCATTTGTTGTTGCACTGAATCTAAAAAAGCCAAAGAGTCTAAACCACTGTTAGATCAAATCACTAAACTCATACACACCACAAATGCAGCAGTGATGTTAACACACAGTAATCTTAACAGAATCTAAAGACATGCACTGGTCGTCATTCTGATCCAATACTTTCTGTGCCATAGCTGAACTCAATCCAAGGTGAGTGTGAGGAAAGTAAGCAGAATTCCAACTTCTGTCCTATGCACTTCACTCCAGTGAGAATGATATTTGGTTGGCTGCCACTGCCTTCCTGAGTTTTTTAAGTCTTCTTTTTCAGTTTCCTGGTTACTTAATAGATCTTTTTTTCCGGGCTTTAAAAAAATGAGGAAAGTGAAGAAGGAGGAGAATGTGGAGGATGAGTGTTTCTGCTCCTCTCTAACCCCGTCTGTCACATTCCTCCCTTTCTCCATGACGTCTCCGTGGATCTGAGCATGTGGGTGAGCAAACATATCCTAATGCTCCCTATCGCACACACACACACACACACATTACTCTCCTCTCAGCACAGAAAGGAGCTCTCCCGTATTTTAGGGGAGATGCAGCAAGAAACAGGCGAATGTACGAGGGGAGACGATAAATGCAAAGTGAGGTTATTAGAATTTGGCATTTGGCTCTCACTAAAGATTTTCCTTTTTAGTGCAACATTCATATTAGGGCTAATGTAATATTGATGCCAAAAAGGGGGGATTAATAATGCATCAGAATGTTGTCTAATCGTTTACTGAGGGAATGGTGTTAAAGAGAGGCGACTGATGGTGGGGCAAAAAAGGCGAAAATGAAAGGAAACGAGGCCTTTAACAGACACGCTTCTGTGCTGCTGTCACTTCCTTTGCTGTATGTTACACAGGCAGCTGTGAAAAGGTGATAGCGCCTGCAGCAGACTGCAATATCAGACACATACGAGAATGTGAAGGCATGCAAGCACCTTTGAAAAATCCTAAAAACAATTACAAGCAGTATGAAAAATTACCACCGTTGCTACACTTCTTAGAAACGATCAGCAATCTGCTTGCATCTGTTACAGGCGTTTGTGCGTCTGGTGTGTGTGCGTTTTGTTTTAGCAATTAGCTGATGTTTGAGTCAGCCTCCCATATCTAACTTAACTTTTGCAAGACTAACTCCAGAGATGAATTTGCTGGGGGTCAGACGTGTAGGTGCAGGTAGTGCTTCTCATAGTATAGTGAGAGCAAGCGATCCTCCACTCCAGAGAAAGTGACACTTGCACCGCTCACTCAAGATCCAACATCCTATGGCTCTAATGCATCATCGCTCGTCGAAGCTTTTGCCACTTTTGAATCATCTGTCATGGAGCTGTGGGTTGACTGTCTTTGATTTGTTGCAACTAACACCACAAACCTGATTTAAATGTTTGCAAGCACTGAGGCAGTGCCAGAAATATCCTTGCCATGACATCAGGCTGTCTGCATTTGGGAGTTTAAAAAAACAGTCAGGCATCACCAGACAACAAAGAGGGCTCAGAAATGTGAGGTGTGCCACTAAGCTGTGCTTAAAATTGTTCAGATTATGCAGGGTTTATTTTTATTTTTCCTAACGACATCACAGGGAAGACAGAACAGCCTGACTGTCAGTCATCCTGGAGCGATGACATAATTGTGTCCTAAATAGCCAAATATCTGCAGCTTTCCACTACTTGTACACCAAGTCTGTGGTGCAATGTTTTAAATGTACAAAAACGATGGGATGGTTTTGCTGTTTTTTCAGACTTCGGACAACACATCAGGTTTAGAGACTAAACCACAGCTCATGAAGCAGCTCGACAATAGAACAAACTGACATTAGCCCGAGTGAGACATAGTCCACAACATACTGTCAGTACAGATGGGCTCAGCGGATGATGCCATCTGTGCACAAACCCCACTTCTATTTTTGCACACAATCATAAATCGGAGTTATGTCCATGATATTTTCTTACCGAGTATTTTGCGTTGGTTGCAAGCTCCTCCCCCTCCCTCAGCCAGCTGATCATTGGTTTTGGATTTCCCTGGGCAGAGCAGCTTAGCACAGTGCTTCCCCCTTCCTTCGCCTCCACGTATTGCGCCGGCGTCTCCGTGAATGAAGGTGGAGCTGGGGAGAACATAGGACAAGGAATTCTTGGTACCATCCCAGTATCCAGACAGAAAAATCTCAAAAGCTATTCTATGGACTGGCATAGGCCCTTTTCCCTCACTGCTTCTTAAGCACAATCATAGGTTTTCCTTATATTGATTGACTGGTGCAGTTGATTGATTGGATTGATTCAATGGTAACCACATGATGTGTTAAAAAGACTTTTGTAACATGTTACTTCTAACTTTTGAGACTGCCTTACCTCATAATCATCATCACATGTTAAATACTTTGGTTCATCACTAAATACCTGCATATTACTTTAACATAAGCCTCATAAGCCTTTATTTGGAGAAAGGTGGAAGAGACACACCAAATGACCAGGGGTGGAATCGCACCCGGTCCTCAGTAATACTCTTGCAGCACCTGTTTAATGTGTTTGGCTACACCATCAAGCAAAGTATCTCTATGGCTAAGAACAACCTTACTGAGGTAGCATGGCAGCTGACTTATAAGTGCAGTCCTTTTTTTTCCCCCCTTTTCATTTTGGATAAGTTTGGAAAACTGTACTGTAGTTTGCAGTGCTGTTGAATTTGTGTTACACTCAGGGATTTCCCTAATAGCACAGCAAACTACAGGCTCCAAGATGACACAGAGTCATTGAATCAGCACCAAGATGGCTTCAGGCATTCTGCCATTGGGCTCTTCTGCACGGCTGTTGTATTGCAGGCACATGTAGTACAGCTGTCCATTTTAGGAGGTATCTGTTTACAGCTGGTTGGGCAGTAGGATCACAAGTGGACAGCCAGTGGACATTTCCATTGAATACGCAATTGTAGTAATTTGAAATCACTTTACATCCTTAAGCACCTTTAATATTACAAAGAAAACCCCAGCAATGGGCGAGCACTTGGTGACAGTGGGGAGGAAGAACTCCCTATCAACAAGAAGAGACTTCCAGCAGAAGCAGGTGCAGCAATCTGCTGTGAGCAATTCTAAAGTAAAGGGAATGAGAAGAATAGAGAGGATTCAAACAACAAACAGACAAAACTACAAAGCACAGGCTGGACTAGACAAAAGTTAACTCTCCGGATTCAACAAATGCGCCGGCTCATTTCAACTTCTGTCAAAAGTGTGGTTTTGTTGTAATAGTTTACAGTGGAAATGTGGATCTTATTGAGAGTTTGTTGCATGGAAGTCCTACACCAGAAAAACAGATCTGAAGGCAACAAAATAACCATGCTATTGTTGTGGAGACATCTTAGTGGCTTTTTAGATATTTAGATATTATAACACACATAATATGTGTGTTATTTTTTAGATAATCTCAATAGATATTTAGGATTCAGTTAAATGTTTTAGTTTGATATTGCAAAGCAGCATTTGCTAGCAGTGGTTGGCGCTGCTCTCCCAAAGTGCGGGATAGGATTAGGGTTAGGGAGAGCGCATAGAAGTGTCTATCGTGTGTTTTCAATCTCCAGCTGACCCCACGTGACCCCAAGATTTCTGTCCACAGTTATTTTGACTGAGCAAGAACTAGCTAAGAAAACGCATCCAAAATGCATCAAGCAAAGAAGAACATGTGTACGCATGATTCAACTGTTGAAGCTGTCAGGCCAAAGTCATTTGTGACTTTGAGACACGGGACACAAGCCAAAAAACCGACACACTGGTGACATATTTTCCCGTTGTGTTTTCGCTGGGCATCAGGACAAATTAGTGTTTACAGTACAAAAGATACAAGGCCAAATGTGTCCCACGCCACCTCGGCAAGTTGTTTGAGTGAGAATAATGAGTCTTGTATTTAGTGCTGTCCACTCATGAGCTAATTGTCCAAGACACATTTCAGAAATCTGAAGTAAATAGGGTCTAAGTCAAACAGGCATTCCTCAGATAGGACATGATGCAACACTTGCACAGTGGGACATGTACCAGGGTTGATAACAAGCTCCCCTGCAGGCTTCCTTCTTTTTGTTTTGTTTTTTAATACAAAACCACTTTGTAACACTGCTGCATTTCCACCTGATGTATCCGAGCTTCGCTAAGAGTCACACGGGAGCTGTTCACCAGCTCCTGCAGGCCAATAAACTGTGGCTTCCTCAGCCAGCTGCTTTCAGTGGTTCAACATAATATTTTGATTATAAGTAGTGGCACTGTGTTTAGTTAAATAGGGGGAAAAAGGCACTGCTATACAAGTGGGTCACCGCTTGCCGCTGGGAGTGCTGCCATGCTTAGACTGCACACAAGCACCTGGCATGGAGTAAACAAATTGGCCAATTAGCACATTTAGACATCTGCCCGTCCATTCTGCCCTCTCGCTCCCTAACACTCATTACATTATATGATACAGCAGATTAATGGAGATTCTAATAAAATGCATGACTGATTTACGTATCATGCAGTTGATGGGTCGGCGGTTACATTAAACGGATCATGATGCATTATTTTAGTTAAGAGGCAACCCTGTGCCACTGCTTCACTATGAGTTTCTGCATGTATAGTATGTCGCTGATTGTCACTGGTGGCTGCAATATGTATGCAGCCAAGTACGTTTACTCAAGAAAAGCAACTTTAAGCTCATAAACAGCGACATGCTTCGGCTCCAGGACATTTTGCGTTTCTGAAGACAGCTGGTGTTTCCTCTTTCCTACTTCATCAGTCATCTCACAACAAGTCCAATTTATGTTGTGATCTTCTTGACCTGACTGACTTCGTTGGAATCCACTCAACAAAACCAGATATTGGTAAATAGTAGAAAAATGCTGATTGCACTCTAATGTAGCAGCATTAATAGCACAATGCTGCTGCATTACAAACATGGTGAACATTATCTGAATGTTGTGTCCTTAAGAAAGAAGAGAAAATCCAGCATAGACCTGGCACCAGATTTGAGAGAATAATCTGACTCTTCACTTAATCAATCCACTGTTCACTGAAATTCCACCGACATATGGTCTCGGTGGAAGGGTAGCCATCAATAAGCCATTCTTAAGGATGGGAAAAACAGAAGACATTTCTGAGCTACGTCAAGTTACATGAGAACTGTGCTAAAAAATCTGTGAGAAAACATGATGATGAATCCAAATTTGAAATTTATGGTTCAACTTGCATAAATATATACAGAGCTTTTTCAGTCATCTGTAAAACACGGTGGAGACTCTCTCATGGTTTGGATTGCATTTCATCCAGTACTTTCAGGGTTTGATCCACCATGCAATATCATCTGAAAAACATCTGATTGCCTTGGCTTTATTTGTCACCATGAGAATGATCACAAACACAATGCCAATGCCAAGACACAGTGGAAGACTGTGCCATAGATTGGCCTCCCCACAGCCGGGTCTTCTACATTATTGAAGCAGTGCGAGATCATCTTGACAGAGAACGGAACAAAACGCAGCCAACATCCAAAGAAGAGCTTTGAATGTCCTTCAAGTCCCTGGAGAACTATTCCTGAAGACTACTTGAAGAAAAGGAAATTAGAACTGTACTGTTTTTGCTTCTTATACTGCATTATCTATTTTCCTAGCAAAATATAAGGAAATGAGGGATGGCTCAAGATTTTTACATATAGAGTATGGGTGGATATATTTAGCAGGTAATATTTCTGCACTTTTACTCGTGAGACATTTAATTGTAACGTGGAAATTTTACAGCACTGGTACTTTCACTTAAGTGAATCACCTGAGTACTTGTTCCTCCACTGTAAGCGCTGTTATTAATTCTAATCCCAAAGTTTTTCTCAAGGGAATAAGCACCAGCTGACAGGAAATAGGTGGCACACATGGTGGTGCTGGTGACAGCAGCAGGCACTTTGGTCAACTTGGGATTTGTTTCACACCGTCAGGTACAGCTCATCACAGAGGAAGTGTCACAATACTTGGGGAACCTGGGAGTTGCTCTACAAAAAAAGTAAGCTGAGCATTAAATCTGTGCCCTACTTACAGCATCTCTTCATCAATTATATACATTAAAAGATGTTTGGAGTTCCCAAACTCCCCCTGTTCTTCTCTGTAGGCCATGCAGCACATCAGCAGATGGCCTGGATGCTAAGAAGCAGGGTAAAGGCTGTTCTTTTTGAAGGCTTATTTACTCAAGACTGTGTTTGCGTCATTTTATTTCCTTGCTTGTTTTGGGGGTTTTTTGTTTGTTTTCCTTTTCTTGTATCTGTTCCTAAGAGAATATGGAGAATTGGAGTACATATTTTCATTGATTTCACATCACGAGTCTCAAAGGTTTAAGTGTAAACTGCTGCAGAAAGAAGAAAGAGGCACTCGGTGACACTTTCCTCCCTCTTCTAATGTCAGCATACGTAAGTTACTCCACAGCGTCTCATGTGTAATTAAGAGGAGAAACAACTTACTTCCTCTCACTTCTTCACTGCCACAATCCCATCCATCTCTTTTCTTTAGGTGGACGTAGGTTATTTTGTAGATTAGATGATCATACTAACATAAACTCTCAACAACACAAGGGTGCTTTTATGTCTGTCAGATTTGTTTTTAATTACAGTGAAAAACTGATGTGAGTCATCCACATTTGTCTTTTCTAGGCATGTTTTTGGAATACATCATAGCTTTTAGGAAATTTGATATTAACTCTGGAACAGGCTGTGCTGGAAGTTATCCCTACTTACTATACAGTCTAAATTTTATTTGAATGTCTGAATCATTAACTGTAATTCTGAGTAATAAATGGCTGTAAGACTAGTTTCTGTTCATTTAAATTAATACTAAAACGTTTGTGCATTTCCATCACAGTGAGACCTTTGTGACAAAAAACATAATCATTCAAATCATCGACCAGTTGAATACGGACATTTTGAAACAACTAACAAATACAGTGAGCCTAAGGATAAAGCTTTCCTGTGCTTCGAGCCAGCGACAATATAGCAGCCTCGGTTATGATGAAAACTATGGAGACGAGTGGAAAAAGAGAAAAGTCCTGTTGTCAGGCGAATTTACAAATACGCTGGAAAATGATGTGAATACCTGACATTTGTTTGTTATATCAATCTGTTACACCTGCTTGTGTTTGCTAAGGCAAAATATGTCAAGTAAAGCTTCAGCTCATTCTGATTTATTCCAGTACCAGAGCACTTTATTTTCAGTTGCTCCCATAAGAGAAGACCCTGCAATACTTAATGCAATTAATGCAGTTTATGAGAACCTGAGATGAATTTTCTTAATGATGGAAATGTGAATATTTTAAATTGAAGAAAAGTGAATCTTTGATTGTGTGTGCTGCCAGTTAGACTTTTTAAAAAGAAATCAGTATTGGCCAAAATTCCTATCAGCATCAGCATCCACAGGGCAACAATTACAACCTGTTAGGGTTTGGCGATATGTAAAAATTTTCCAATCGGCAATCGTCAGTCCAAGAATCGCCGATGGGTGATATATTCGCGCATGCGCAGACTTTTTGATGGGCGGGGCAATGTAATCATGCACGGACTGATTTGCATGTTTACAACACAGAAGAAGTCCAAACATGGACGAAGTAGTTTAAAAAAGCAAAACAAAAACGCTGTCAGCGTCAATGCGGCTTAAACGATTAAAATTTTTAACGCTCTCAAACCATCTGGAGCGCAGAATGAACAAAATTTGGACAAACTGCCGAAATGCGTTGACAGAGACATTTCAGGGATTTTGCGCTTCACATGGATTAATTGTTAATCGCGTAAGTCATAACGATGGCGCTGACAGCACTAAAAAAATATAAAGTCGCCAATTTGGGGTTTCTTTGGCTTTAAACCAGATGAAAAAGGTAAACCTAAGGATGTAACCAAAGCGGTGTGCCGACGTATAGTGCCAGCAAAGTACTGAAACACGGCTAACTTGCAAGCGCATGTACGTGTCCACCATCCGGCACTCTGAGGAGGGTGCATTTGCTCGCAGATGAAAGAGGGTGCTGTTAAAACAGCACTATTTTTTTTTCTCATGTTGACGGCTTCTATTAGCTCCTTCTATTAGACAAATATATCGTCGATAGTCGATATATTCGTCCAATCAGCTCGATATATTCGTCCGATCGAACCTTGCAGACAAGGTTCACTAAAGTCTTCACCCAAATTGTGTTCAAGGTCAAAATCAAATCTGTCATTTTATATATAATAACCTGCGAATTGTGATGGATTGTGAGCCAGATAAGCTGCTGGATCACTAACATTCTGGTTAATACAAGCACACAGTTATACAAGAGTCATAATAGAGAAAAACATTTGTTAATTTTAGCTTATCATTTTTATCGGGGCATCTTATTCACCACACACACACAGTATTTATTACATTTTGTACGCCCACCTCTAATTTAAATTTGCAAGCTGGGCTCCCGTGATTGTTCACCCCAGACTCACCATAGTGGACAGCACAGTGACTGACAAAGACAGATACACACGGGTAATAAATGGAGCTGACATTTGGGACCCAGTTGCATCGACCAAATGGGACCTAAATGCCAAGCCATCACTAACCCAGTGACATGGTGGCAAGGTCTGATTGTGTCTCTTTTTTCAAGTTTAAATATGCATGGATAAAATTAAAATCACATGACAATGATGGGGCACTTTCTTTTTGCTTTCTTAAAAAGCTTACTGATGCTTGAGGACTATGCTTCTTACAAAGGCAAGAAGAAGACGAGGGAGGGAGAAAACAGAGAGAGAGTAGCCTTAGTGTCTTTTTCGGGCACAAGGCCTTGCCATCTGACACCTGCCACTGAGTGGGCATGAATTCCCTCTCCGCTTGGCAGGAAGTTAAGGCCAGCCACAGGAACTCAAAGAAGCAGTATATGCAAATACTAACGGCCAAAGGAAATGAGTGCCCTTAGTGTCTGTGCCTAGGCCAAACGAAAATGGCACCTGCTTCCTTCACAGACCCCCATTTAGGGGACAACAGTAGCAAAAAGGCTTCATATGAACTCCCCTGTTAGATATCTAGACGCTGAAACAGCTTTTGATTTTTTCATGAATGTCTGTCTGTTGTTTACATAACAAAACTCCAACTAAATATTTATACCAGCAAAACATGTCCATCTGTGAGTAGAGCTGTGGGTGCACTCTATCGAGAGCGGCATTGCATACATACATGAGGTCTTACAAAATGCAGACATATAAAATGCCAAATATACATGAGATTCGGGGATATTATTAGATGTGTTGAAGCCAGAGGAGCTCTGTTTCTGTTGGAAGGCCTGACAGGAGTGGAGACCAGCACACGAAGGAGGGGAGGGGGGCAGTTGAAAGTGAATATTGATGAAGCAGCTACAGAGATGCAGTATGCCTACACAACAAGACATTCATACGCACACGCCTACAGATGTTCACAAACTCCAAACATCACAAGAGTGCGCAGGTGACGCTCACTATGACCGATTCACCCTATCCGACATTAACCAGCAAACAGAGATTTCTTTCAGCCGCACACAAGCACGTGAGATGGGATGCTCTCGTGTCAGCTTTGAGTTAACGTCCGTTACATGGAGCACGCGTTAGAAAATCATTTGCAATGCCCGATGTGGCAAAACACAAATTCAAAGCAAAGCACCGATAATCACCATTTTTACAAAGTGATTATGCTGTGCACTGGACAGTATAAATGATTTTTTTTTCATAGAGAAATTTGCACGCAGTGCAGTGTAATCACTATTCAAATACGAGAAAAGCATCTTGTAAAACATATGCATGATCAACTCAAATATGCATGACTTTCACACAGCTCTCAAGCTCGAAGTTCACAGACCAAAAATATACATGTGAATGAGCCTGACAGTACTTTGTCTCTAAAGTCTCTCTCTAACAGCACAGAGGATTACAGCTTTCTGAACTTAGTCCTGTGACGCTTTACCGCAAGAAATTCACCACTTTCGGTTTCTCTTCCAAAAGTCTGCTTAGGAAACATTCCCTGACACATAAAATCAGTAACCAAAAAGCTAACAAAAGAATTGCGACTGATAGTACTCCACAATCTCGTCTCCTGCACGAGTGTGCCGCGGTTTCTTTATTGCATCTTTGCTGCGCCGTGCATCTGCAGCAAGCATCAACTGTAAAACAGGAGCTTACTGCGAATATCTTTCCGAAAAAGGCTGAAACGCATAGAGTACAAAGGCATCGCTGCGCAATGTGAAGACACACTTTGCACAGGAGTCTCTGCGCCGCTGGGGCATTCCTGAGAAATGCAAAGGTGCAGATTTTTTTTCCGCCTGGTCATCAGTTTGATAGCTCTCAGACTATCACAGACAATCCCTGCCGGAACCGCCTTAAACTAGACACAATCAATCCTGCTCTAACCAGACGCTCATCCCTTTTTTTCCTTGAGGCCTTTTATAAAGGAGCTACAGGAGTGACCTAAAACAGTGCCTGACTCAAATACACTGATAAATTTGAATTTTTCTGTAAATGAAAAATGAGTAAAAGAAGGAGGCCTGTGAGCAACTAAAAAAAGGTCCAGTTAGCATAAAAAATGAACGAAATTTAATATTTAAAGCAAAATAAATAAATAGATTTTTTCTAATAACAATGTACCATTCCCACATCTTTAATTGAAATGCCAATGATAAATCTACGTGATTATCCTTATCATAAAAACACACGGAGCTTAAGCCGATCCTCTTTTCTTTTTCTTTTTTTTGTTTTCACAGACTCACACTTCCAGGTCAGAAGGTAGGCTGTTTGGCCAGATGACTCACCATTGACTGTGAGGTGCACCCAGCTGCCGTTGTGGAAGGTGTCGTACTGCTGCTCCAGCATCAGGACCCTGCACTCATACCAGCCCTGGTCCTCGGAGCGCACTGGGTCAATCTGCAGGGAGGCCTTCCCATGCAGAGAGGCTCTACCTGCAGACAGCAGGGAAAAAAGCAGAATTAACCACTTCAGTACTTTAAATGTATCTTTAGAGATACCACCATACACACACCCAAGAGCTTTGCTGGTCACCAAAAAGATCCATCATAGCAGCTGGGGGTTAAGTGCTTTATTTTAGGGCAGTGGCTGTAAGAGTGTGAGTTTTATTTCTGCTCTGACAGTAGTCCACACCTCACAGTCGTATAACGCTTCTAAGCATGTTCCAGATGTTCAAAAAATAATATATAAAGATAAACTAAAGATTCATATATTTTCCTTTTCCTTGTAAGGGCTCCATAAACTCAAGCCTTTTGATCCACAAAGTCAGGTATGACAAACTGATTCATTTTTGAGGTCTTTTTCAAACTGCTTACTCGTATTCAGGCACTACATCAGACTGGAGCCTTTCCAAGCACTAGATGGAAGGAAGGAAAACACTGGCTGCCAGTCTCTTGTAGAGCTAACACAGACAGACAGTCCCAAACACTTACTGTACAGTCATACTTACGGGCAATTTAGAGCCTTCAATCAACCTGACTTCTAAGTCTCTGAACTCTAAGGAAACACACACAGATATAAACAGCACGCAGAGTCGATTTGAGAGCAGAATGGTTTTGATATTATGAGGGAATATGGACATTTTCCGCCTTGACAGAATGTCAAGCCCATAGCCCGCTTTAAAGAGGAGATGGTTATTTTAGTTTAATGTATGAGCGCAAAACAGCTGTAAACAGCTGACCTAGATTCAACTGCAGATTTCTTCAGTCCTCTTAATACACAATTAAAAGAATACAGCCGTAATTATAATCAAAAGAAAAATTCTGACCAGTAGGCTTTTCCCATATTATGGGACCGATACTGGTTCGCAGGCACTGCAGTGAGTGCAAACAGCAGAGTGTATGTGCTTAAAGTGGCAGAGACACAAAAAAGACCTCAAAAGATGCCTATGGGCCAGATTAATTAAGAATGATGCTGGTAAATCAGTTTATGTGCTAACGTCACTCACAAAAATCTCTGAGATCCCACAGCTTGCATGCAATCTTGTCAATACCCTTTCTTTCTAAATAATGACACAAATGATTTTTATGCCAAATGTCACTGTATAGCAATCAGACAAACTACTAAGTGGACAGGAAGTTTTATTTGTTGCTAATAGGTGTTTGTGGAAGTCTTTCCTCTAAGCTTATTTAAAAAGCCAAACTGCTGTTTCATAGGGTTACAACAGAATCCCTATGAGTGTCCCCAACACACACACACACACACACACACACACACACACACACACACACACACACAC